GTTTTATTGCCAGTAGCTATAAAGTGTAGTAGCCTATGAGCCAAATTCCACAATGTTTTAATGTATGGTCATGCACTCTAAAATGCCATAGAAAATCAACCAGTGTGAATCTGTAAGACCTCCATCTGTGCATTTGGACTCACTTTTTTCTTGAGAAGACAGAAGCACCTGACAAAACAAAAAGGTCCTTACATTCAATCTCACTGCAGTGACGCAGCAGGTCTGAAATGTCTCACTGGCAAGTGCTAGAAAACAGCCAGGCCTGTTTGCACCAGATAAGGTAATACCTGTAAGGTGCTGTGCAAGGTTCAGGATGCCAAATTGCTTCAGGTGGTCCCAGACCCCCAAAAGGTATCCGCACAAGGCTGGAGTAAATAGTCACATGCTATTCAACCCGTCTCATTTTCTCATTCATTCATTTCATTGTCCTTAATGACCCTTAATGATAGGAGGAAAACTGCAAAAAGTGGCATACACTAAAAGGTTTCTAGCACATTTAGTTGGGGGCGAAAATGACTAAACAGCTTCCTTAATGGCCCCCAAATTTGTGATCTATATAAATATGAATGGCACTGTGGGCTGGTATAACCCTGTGGGTAGATTTTATGTAAATTTTATAGCGTTATCAGAGTGAAACAACATCATCTATCTCTACTGCATAAATGTGATACAAGTTAAAGATGATGTATACATATTATCAAAGCGTGATGTGTGAGGTCAGAGAAAGTATGGATGCATACCAATGGCAACATACAGGCTGTACAGTGTTGAAGCTCATGGGTATTATTCATCTGCCTTTTGGATGAACCATATGGACAATGAATATGCAGCAAAACTACCCTAGATAAAAACACAACAGATGGCCCACCACAGAAATTCTTACAAAAGCAAATAGGTTTCTTTAATATGCTTTAAAGAGCAAGTTGGGTTTGATCCTCATTTTATGAAACAACAGTTTATGAACAGTTATTTTGCTATTAGATTATACGGTTCAGTGTAGGAACGAACTGACTACAATAGAACGTTTGCTTATTATATCATACTGGGTATGAATGATACAGTACGGTGAATTCAGATTGTGATGAAACAAGAAGAGTGAAAGAGATTCTGTTCCTCTTTTATTAACTATTACAAACTTCTTCCCTACACAATCATACTTAACTGTCCCCTGTTCTATCCTGCAGTTAAATTTTGGCACAGTGAAAAGACCTTCATTTGTCTTTGTCAGGGAATTAAGGAAAATCTATTTGACGGACATCCAACTAATAGGGGAAAGAAAAGGTCAAATCATTTTCACTGTCTGAAGCCCATGGCATTTTGTCCTGATTCAACCCTTTCCAATGTGAAGTTCTGAAGCTGAACAATAACTATCAAAATATTGTAAAATATACTCAATGGAAAGCCATAAGGTAGTGTTGAAAGAAAGAAAATCATTTTATTTGCTTCAACACTTCGCTAGAACAAAACAAAATAGAACACACTAACAATACAACACATAACAACAATAAGTATGTAAGCATGGTTTGACACCTTCCAAATTAGGTGTCCAGCAAAACTGTCCTGTCATAGATGTCTAGTGCTGGTCTCCAGCTACTCAGCCTCTTGACTTCAAGAATGTCCTCATCTCGAGCACAAATTTTATGTTTCTCCGCATACAGTGCACTGTGAATATATACAGTACATACACTTTAAGAAATTCCATAGATATTTCTTATCAGCCATGAACGGTGCAGGTCACCATAATTTAATTTCTTATACCTACCTGGTATCTTTTGTTGGTGGTTTTCGGTGAATAAATGGTTTAAATGTGACAAAAGGCCTGGACCTGAAGTAATATACAAGTAAATATGTAAAAAAAAATATTATATCGGTGTCTGTGCTCAAGTTTTGTCACCTCACTCTTGTCTTCCAGATGTTTCATGTTAATTAGTCTTGTTAAAACATTAGGTTCTTGTGTATTTATAGCCTTTGTGTTTTCCTTTTCTTTGGGCATCTTTCAGTTGCCCTGCTGTGTGCTGTGAAAGTTCTGTATGGAAACTGTTGACTGTCTGTATGTTCACTTTCAATGGGGAGTTTTGAAATGTTGTACTTTGATATATCCCTTCACATGAAGTTTTTTTTGTTCGTTAATTTGCATTAAAACATGGCTACAGTCATCTTTTTGGTCTATCTTACTGCATCTACAGTAAGCATGTTGGTCCTTACCCAAAAGTGGCTGTGCGCAGTGATGATTCATATTTATGAAAGCCAGGGCTGTACTCAGGAACTAGAAATGGTCTGACCTTTGTTGAAAGGTAGATGCTGCATTTGTCTGTGGCTGAAAAAAGCAAGAAGATGTGATTTATTAGAGTTTTGAATGTCTCTCAGACTATAAATGTTTCAAACTATGTACTGTATGTAAGAAAAAAATTATAAATTACCCATGACCTAAAACAACATAGGGTGCACTGACTACACTTCACTAAATACAATTCCGCTTTATATGAATAGTTAAGAACAGTAGCAGGGAGTAACATTATTAGCATTGATAATGTCTTACCCTGCTTTTTCCTCCCCATGGATGATTCCAGGGAATTTTCTGAAATGCATCTCATGCTTCTCGTATGATTAATGCCATCCATAAAACATCTCTTTCCAGCGTGATAGGCCTTGGGCTGTCCAAAGTTTGGATAAAAGCTCCATTCAGATGCAGACACCGTATTAGCCTCTAAATGGACATGGCAATAAATATAAATGATTCTGAAAAATTATCCCAGAATCTAATGACAAATTCCAAAGAAAGAGTTAAAAGTGTTAGATGTTACATCCTTAGTGATTACTTCAATTAAAGTTTTCATGTACAGCTGCCACTAGAGATCATTTTATTAATACTTGAACAGATAGACGTTGCTGATCAAAGCCTGACTCACGTGAGAAGGATCTCATCAATTTCCTTTCATTGGGAAATTTTATGTCTTTGATGTGTGGAAATGGGGCATCGCTGTATCGAGGTTCAGGTATCCAGCGCAACTGGGATTTCCAGTCAAGGTCACATCTAAAACCATTGGTATCATTTTAATGTAGTGTAGAAGAAAAAAACTCAAGCATAGGATACACATAGACATTAAGTTTGACTTGATTTGAAATATTGACATTGGCTAGAGACGGAGCACAAATCTCACAGTTAACTGTAATGTTGTAACCTCAGAGCTTTAAAATTAAGACTCAAGAGTCTCTCATATGTCCCACTCAGAAATTCTGTTCAATTTACGATTCAGGTTACGCAATACAACTTTGACCCTTTGCTTCTACTGCTTCAAACACTAACGGAAAATTGAAAAGCTGTCATTCACAAGTAACTTCAACTGCAGTTAAATCAATTTTTAATACTTTATGGGAGAGAAACTGATTCATGTAGTTACTCAGTGAGAACAGGCTCAACGTGTCTAACATGAGGCTTGAAGTCCTGCTCTTTTCCAAAACTCCAGAATGAGTCACCGAAGTCGGTATGTTCCTTCATATCGCGACACCGTGACATTTCACTATAAGTAACGAGAAAAAAAGAAAGATGGAAAAAAGGGGAATGATCTGCTATGCAGTACTTTTTGAACTTAAAGTAAATGTAGGCCTATAGGCTATTGATTGTGTTGTAAGTATTTCTATGAAAAAATAGCCTAGTCTACACAAAATTTTTAGAAATAGTGCTAATTAAAAGCTAATGAATTATTTAAGCACACAAAAAAATATCTCAAAAACACTATTCACTTCGTGCGGATGCGGCGTAAGCCGCAACTTTTTAAGAAACAAATTAATTCAGAGTGGATTTATAGTGTTATTACATGCGAGCAAGTGTTGCAATGAGACTCATTTTTAAAATATTTTCGTCTACTTGCGCCCACAGCAACGCGACTACGATAAATATTTTGTAGTAAATAAAAGATCAATGTTAGACTGCCTATATAGCCTATGGACCAAATATATTCTGGAAACCTTACCTCGTGTTCATTACGTAGCTAAATGAACCAGTGATCTTTGTACATTGAGATAAAGGCTGTAGACAAAACTACTGAAATAATCCGTTGCTAGGAGAACATAAGCAAAACTGACAATAGCCTTTAGAGTCTGATACAAATGCACTGTAAATCGATTGCGTAGCTTATATATATTTCTTTAATTATTAACTTACTAATATGCATTATTTATTCACATGGTAATTCTGTCGGTCTATTTGTTTGTGAGGAGGATACGTTACAAAATGTAGTAAAATAATTTGCATTTGCCTGACTTTAGCCTGTCAAAACGCAAGATGTCGCAAGAAGGTAATTTATCCTTACAAGGATTTTACTGTGTGTGCTATAATATTAAGTATATACCTATTATGACTGCAGTGATTATTGCAGGCTACTAGAACATAACAGTCTAGAGGAAGTCTATGGAAAGTTTATGTAACAAGAATAACTAGCTGTTTAAAAAAGAAACAAAAACTATTCAATTGCCTGAGCCAGAGTGATGTTTCTTAACTCAATGCAGATGAAATATGGAAAGTGGCCTGTCAGGATGAGGGCTGACTTTTATATTAACTAATTTTATAAATATCTGAAGGAGTTATTTATAGCTGTGAAAACTTATAAAAGGGGGATATTTTTTAAAATGACCCTCTTCTTTCTGTCAGGACATAGCAAGTTGTGATTCCTAACAACATACATAGACTATTGGCCATATATTTCTGTTTATAATGCAATCTATATGAAATACATGAGTTATAGTGTGAGGACAATTGGTTTTAGGGGTAGTGAGTGATAATGTCATAACTGTGATTAAATAAAATGGTACAATTGTTTTTATTTTCATGTCATTAACTGTCGCTGTTTTAAAAAGTAATGGCAGGTAATGTTGTGGGACCTGCTTTGACACAGTGTCTGATTTGAGAGAGACAGAGAAAGAGAGAGCCAAAGAGAGAGAGAGAGAGAGAGAGCTCTTTAAATCCACCTGTTAGCCGGCATGTATTCTTGCGCCTTCGGTTTGGGAAGGTGAACTGATCGCCAGGACCGTGTGCCAGTGTTTTAACTCAAAGTTCTGCATTTGTCCAAAGTCGACACCGCGCACAATCTGCATCTTTAATGGACTATCACTGCCAACGACACCGTACGGGACAATGTTAATGCATCATTTGCTTAACCGTCCACAAATGCCTTGATCTCGCAGGGACTTCGCAACAGTGCTGCAACTCGCGCAAAATCGACACACCACAGGACTTTTTGTTTTTCATTCGTGAATATGGCAAAGCGACTGCAGCCAACTGGAGCCGAGGTTTGCAACACATTGTTGCAAATATTTTGAAGAAGAACACGATGCTCTCCCTCTCGCGTGCCCTGTAACTGCTTCCATTCATTAATTCCAGCTTGGCTCGAGCACCGTCTTCTCTCCTGGAGATTTTCCTTCCAGTTTCCTCTCAATTATGTTCACTTTCGCTGCCTTTTGCTATATGCTTTCCCTTGTCCTCTGTGCTTCTCTCATCTTCTTCGCGATCTGGCATGTAAGTGTTTGCATCTTTGACGTGCTTTGTGAAATTATGCTGCAGAATGGCATGCATGTGTTAGAGCAGAGGTTGCTGCATCATACAAAACTGTCCATCACCAGATCAAAGCTTCCTTGATATTATGAATGTCTCTGGCATGTCTTACATCACCAAATTCAGAAGTCACTGATGATTATTTTAGTGTAAATTGATAGTGAAATTAGACTTGGGTCACAGCATTGGTGCATATCCTGACTTGGTGGCGCCAGATTGTGTCAGGAAATTCTTTTGCACACCTTTTTTGGGGTTTCCCATCTCTCTAATGGACAAAACACCTTTGTGGGTTGTGTCAGATCCTGTTTATCCATTTCAGGAAACACATACTTGCGTTAAACCCCCATACAGTTCAACTGTACAAGCCACAGTCAGTGTTATTTTCCTGCAGCAGTTTGTGCCTGACCTGTTTTGATGTTACGCTGTCCTTTATGTCTGTGCACTTTATGCAAGGTGTAATACTGTTTTTTTCTTCCTTGAGGAAAGCTGCATTAAAGCACTGGCTCATATTCACAGCACTGCAAAACTGCTCTAGACTTGGGTCAGCACAGTCGTTTGCCCTAGGCTTAATTTTGCATAGCAACAGACATTATAGCCTCAAGGGTTAAATAAGGGGTAATTATGAGGACATCACATTGATTTGACCCAGACCTTTCCGTAAGAGATCATTCAACTCAATCTATTTCCAATAAACTGTCCTTCAGTTATTCTAAAATAAGTCTTATTTGTCAGTTATTTTGTGAGGAAGGCAGAAATGCTGTCCTCAGCGGTTTCAGCTTTTGAATCTTTAATAGACTTAATTCAATCGGCACACAATGGGAAAATCCTGACACGTCGACCCTCTTTCACGTCTGCAAATTGAATACATTTTAGGTTTCGAGTGTAGGTTCAGCATGATGTTACATAGTGTACAGTGTTTTGAAGCAAAGCTTTTATTGAATGCACTGAATATAGAGTATATGCATTATGAGACAGCTTCCTCACGGTCCTTTTAAGCCATGCTGAAACAGTTTGTCACCCAGACATATCAAAGAAAGCAGCATTCGCTTTAAAAAGGACCTATTATTATAAAATCATGATTACTGAATGCCAAGACTGTCAGGGTCGGGGATGAATGGATGAGGCAAGGACTCAATTGCAGAAGGAATTAGGGATTTTATTAATAAAAAATAAAACAAAACAAACTGAAACTACCCCATTGGGGAAACCGACTGACAAGGCAGGGCAGGACACAAGGTGCACACACAACATTCAACGACGAACTCGCACAGGACTGCAAACACAAGGAGAATAAATAGGGAGCAAATGAGGAGGGTAATAATGGAAACACAGGTGGGGCAAATTAACCAATAATCAGGTAACAAGATGGGTGGGTTAGACAATTGACATGAGAGCACATGGCACACAGGAAACAAAAACAAAAGCCATGTGCTCACAAAACAAAAACAAAAACACAAGCACAAGGCCAGCAAAACAGTCACAAGCCATGTGCTTGAACAAAACAAGACACGAACACGCAGCTAATGAGAATACTCATAAGCCGCGTGTTCACACAAGACATGACAACATGAAAGCACGCAGCCAATAAAAAACACAAGCTGCGTGCTACACAGCACAAGACATAACATGAAAGCACGCAGCCGAAGACACGAGCTGCGTGCAACACCACAAGACACGAGGACAGAAGAGCGTACGGCCCGAGCGAACTCGAGACCGCATGCTCCCACAACAAAACAGAACATGGAGTGCGAGTGTCCAAACCCCGACACCAAACTGAAACTGAATCTGAACAAGACATGAGTGCCGGGATCCGAACACTACGCTCCAACATGAAACAAGGCACGCAGACAAGAGAAGCGCACGGCTCGAGCACACTCGAAGTCGCACGCTCACAAGAAAACAAGACAAGACGGGAGTGTCGGGACTCCATCACAAAACCATGAATAAACTAGACCGAAGTGACAGAACCCTGACAAAGACATTGGGAAATTCTGAATATCAGTGGAACTTTAGTTGATAAGTGTCCTTCAACCAACATCCTTTGTGACATCCAAGTGATTCTGTTTTTAATAACGCATAAATTCTTATTTATATATGCAATTATCATGCTGACAGTACTTATCGGCTGATGGCACCACACAAATGCACACAATCCCAAGGGACTATCTTGAGCTGTGGTGTGAAAAGCAGCAGACAGGGACAATATCCTATAAAGTACATTTCACGCTTTTAAGAACCCTCCACAAAGAAACTGGAAAAGCATCTACTATTATATAATATTTGTAATTTATTTATTGTTAGCAAAAGTTTGGGGTATGTAAGATTTTTTTTTTTTTAAGAATTAATATATTTATTTAGCAAGGACACAATAAATTGATCAAAAGTGACAGAAAAGACATTTAACATTACAAAAATTTCAAATAAATGCCGCTTTTTGGAACTTTCTATTCAAAGAATCCTGAAACAAATGTATCACAAAATATTAGGAATGCACAACTTGATAATAATAAGAAATGTTTCTTGAGCATTGATTCAGCATATTAAAATGATTTCTGAAGGATCACGTGACACTGAAGACTGAAATAACGACTGGTGAAAATTCAGCTTTCGGGTATAAATAACATCTACCAGCAAGTCTAGTGAAAGATAGCAAAATCCTTGAAATCTCTTACAGCACCTTTTAAAAGTGAAGTTTTCAAACACTGCTAAACCTATCTTTCTTTAACTTTCCTTAACTTAGATTACGAGCATGGAAGAATCCGTCCTTTTCAAAGGGATCTAAAGAGATGCCTAATCTGCATATTTCCCCTTGTGTGTTATTCTACATCTGAGGGGAAATGATCCCCACATTAGCTTAACTAACACTGAGAGTCAAAAGTTCCCTCAGCAGATGTTTCGATTCCACTTTCACAGCCAGTGGAAACCAACACAGTAGTGTCCACAAAACGTTTGGCAAAGATGCACAGTTTAGAACAGTATTTAACAGATTGTCTATGTCATGTCTATGTCTAAGTTTTAAATGTATTATTGAGATGTATAGTGGTCATCCTAATTGTGGCACATTTAATTCAAAAATCAATCCCGCAAGCTACTGTACTTCGAAGAGCTCTTGTTAAACATTGGAGGACAACTTGATTATGCTACAAGGGGAACTGTGTTAAATAGGCTTATACGTGCTGACATGACTTGAATAATGCCAAAATATGAACACAGTCCTTTTCAAACAAACTTTTCAAACAGTCCTTTTAGAACAAACATCTTTACTATACAGACTAGATTTTCAGTTACGTCTATGTTCACAAAAACAGGTTAATGCTCTGTCTACTGCATTTGAAAATAACACACCACCTACACTAAACTCTACCCTAAATCTTACCAGTAGTGTAAGCAAAAGCTTGCTTTTACAAGAATAATAGTTTTCAGCTATTTTTCAACTATTTTATCGTGACTCACGATTCACAGGATACCTGAAATGCTCTGCAGTCTGCATTGCAATTCCAGTGCTTACCGGGGGTGCTACCGAGCAAGTTTACTACATCAGAAAAGCCATACATATTAAACCCGTTGTGATGCAAATGTAAAAATGTATTAGTTTACAAATTATACACTATGGAAAAAGTGTTTTGTCATAACATAGTATTGTAACTCTCATAATACCATAATTTGTGTGAAAATAAATAAAAGTTGTTGGTGTTTTACTGCTAATCGGTAATTTTATCTGGAATCTGAGTGAATTGTATGTATAGGTTTGTTTATGTAGTTTTTGAGCAACAAAATTTCCAATGAGCCTATGTTGGTTTTGTCATTTGGTTTACTCAAGCTATTAGTATTAGGAAGGGCTTACGCAAGCTAGTAGTATTAGGAAGGTCTATAACCCAAAATCTTGGGTAATACCACTAAGAAGTGGTATTAACACAATTTTGGAAATAATAGGCATTGGGTTAGAGGATGAGGTGATGGATTAGGGCAAGCATGATATCATTTGTAGACATTACAGCAGGCAATCAAAAAGAAATCTATAATTTCTCACAGCCCAATTCCCTCTTACTGGCAACATATTGTGTTATAATCATGATAAATATGAGAATGTTTGAGGAAATCACATCTACTAATTTTAAATATTAAAGACAGAGTTTACTGAGCAACAATTCTATTCTGTGCATTACGAGTATATTTATATACAAGTACAGTTCTCCAGTCAGCTCAGCTTTTTTCAATACAACGTAATCCCCAGATGGGTAAACTGATGTCACATAGGGAACAAAACAGCAGTGTTTCCACATGGATGCAATGTGCACATGTTACATTCTTTGTTGATTTTCTTTCTGGAAGGCATTTTGAATTTCACAACTATGATTAAGATTCACATGCTGCTGTCAGGTTTAAACCCGGCCTTATTTTAATTTAACCCGTTTTAAGTGGTTTTTATGCTTCATCAACATTTATGAACAGTGTTCAGTTATTTATGTCACTTGTGTAGCTTATATGGTTCAATGATCCCCCTTTCATGGTGCAAGTTTAAATGTGATTATTAAAGGATGGCCAGATTTAAAACGTGTATGTAATGCTTTTTTTTTTTCTGGTTATGTAGCGGTTACACCGCACACACTTATCTGACAGCCAAGCAGAAAAGCAGTTAAAATCAAACCCCATTTTTACTGCTCATGTCGCCTTCAGAATTGAGACAGCATTGATATACTATAGAGGTAGTGTAGGAGGACAGGGCAGTTTGGTCTGTAAAAGGGGAAATAAGCTTGTCTAATTTGATCTAACTTTAATTTAGGCTTCTCTTGCCTTGTGCATGAGCTATAGCCAATAGGTACCATAAGACCCTATTTGCTCTAATGTACTTACTAAAGGCGATAATTTCATATGCCTTTTCAATCTGTATAATTTTTGTCACATCAAACACTACTTTCACCATCATGATATACTGGATATTCATAATATATTAAAGATTTCAAGATGTTGTGAACTCAAGAACCTTAATATTCAAGTTTATCACATGTGGTCTTTTATGTATCTCATTCTACAATATATAAATGAATATATATATATAAAATGATTAATAACAGTACACAACATATTTCAGTTGTATCACCCAGCTCAACTTCTGCTATGCCAATGAGATGTTGAAATAATGGAGGATGAATCAAAGTAATAAAAGGAGCACATATCCTTGAAAATCACACAAACGCTGCAAATCCATGTGTCTAGCCTGAAGATAATGATCGTGTTCCCTTTTCTTCTTTGGGTTTTCAGATAACAGCCTTTGATGAGCTTCAGGCAGACTTCAAGGTGCCGATCGATCAGGGCAATCCACTTCATGCGGTAAGTCATGCAAATAATGGACTTGATCATTTGATTCATTGCCCTTTCCTGCACTTCCATGGAAACTAATGAATTTGTATGCGTGCCTGTGTTTATTTGTTTATGGTGGGAAAATATTTTAGCAAGCCCTCTGATCTTTTGCAGGCACCAGGTGTGTTGCCTATCCCAAACTCTGAAACATTTCCTGTCATCCGCAGCATTGCATGAATAATCCATAGAGCAGCTGTCTATGTGTTGTCTTTCCTCTGCTGGAGGCCCTGGCAGCTTTAATCTCGCTAATTAATTCAAGCTGAGGCAACTTTTCCAGCTTTTTGGATACACCAACTGTTATCCAAAAGTTTAGAACAACATTGTCATTCTATATGCCAGCATTGCAAAATAATTTACATGTGTGTGCTTGATACCTCGCCAGGCTACATAGTGACAGAAAACAAAGCAAGAGGCACAAGCGAATGCAGATATTTTTGGTCTTTTGGACTTGTTGGAAAGTCTCACTGTGACGTGTAGACAAAGTATCTGAGTCACGTATCCGCTCCGCACAAAACTTCTGTAGTGGTAATTTATTGCTGTCTTCCAAACAAAGTGTCAAAGTAAAAGATACACGCTCTCTATGTCAGACTGGAGGGAACTATGGAGGATCTGGAAGGTGGGGGTGCTAAAAGATTGATGGCCTCCTAGCTGATCTCACCACCCATTCAAGTCAATCTCACACCCTGCATGGCTAATTGGTGGCTTCTGTCAGTCTTCAGCTGGGAGGAAGTCAGGACTTCATCCTGTGATTCTCATTGGAGCTCCCCTTATGACTCTAGTCTGCACAGTAGTGCTGCAGTCAGTGTGTTCAGTCCCTCAGGCTCCTTTTATATCTGGCATTAACGTGCTTTTCGCAAAATTATTTCTTCATGAGTAGATTTTAGGGCTGAGAATTAATTTAATGCAATTAATATAGATGCAATAATTCACACAATTAATGCAGCATTGTTTTTTTGTTCTTTTTTATTTCCGATGGTATAGGCTAATGTTTTATTATGCTTATGCTGTTTGTATCAAAACAACACAGTCTGCATGTACCCTGTGATCAGCAATACTTGAATGGCTATAAATATTAATTTGTTCTTCAGAAACTGAGGGGAAAAAAAACAGCAGTATTGGTAAAGATATCTGTGAGACTGGCCTTGATAGTACTTGATAGTAAACAGATATTAGCATAAGATGAGACAGAATAGAGAATCTTGAATTAAGTTTATTTTGCTTACCTCATTGGCAAGCAGTTTTCCCCTTGTTTAAGCAAAAATTAATAGTAAAAATATATAAATAATAGCAGTATCAGTAACACTGTTCGTAATAACAATATTGGTGAGACTGGCTTTGATAGTATAAAAGATGCTATTATGTAATTGTATGTGATATTTTATATTTTGTTATATTTTATGTAAAATTATGTAATATCTTTATGCTGATTCTATATTCATTTGGGGATTCAATGTGCAATTATTATCACATATTTTAATGTTAGATGCAATTAATAGAGATTAATTATGATTATTCACTTAAAAATGTTTACTCAATTTGCAACTTGTTTTGTAGCAGATAATATCTAAAAATCTTTGAAACAAGATACATTCACTAGAGAACCAAAATTGCTAAAGATATTATCATAAGATAACACAGTTTTTCTTACCCCATTTGGAAAATAGCATTTTTCTTGTTTTAAGCATAAATCTAACACAAATTAGTGAGCTTAAACATTTTAAACTTTAATATCACTGATAAATCAGAGAGCGAGAGCTAGCAGAACCGTCACATTTAACTGTCCTTGACTGCCGCTGCCCGGCTAATTCTGTGGCGGCATTCAAGACATAATTCTCCAGCAATTAAACACTTCTGATGCTATTCTTTTATAAGATTCTCTAATAATCCTTGATGAGTTTTCTTTATGTGTTGAAACGAGGCATCTTTCATGTTAACGTTATGAGCTCATTAGATGAAATTTGTATCTGCTGCGCTGCCTGATGCGTGCAAGCTTTTAATATTTTATCATGCTAATGTTCGAGATAGACATTACCATGCATGTGGCCGATTTCAATGTAAAACAACACTAAATTAAAGGTATCATTATGTTGCTTGCATGATGGCAATATGAGCATTCCAACACATCAGCTCAGTTTTTTTTAGATTTACTTTTGTAGAGACGTAAGCAAAATTCAATACACTTTAAATCAAACTCAGTGCCAAGCTTTACCAGTTGAGCTACAGAAGGATTGATAAAACATTAGTTAATTGTCTACTATTCAGAACTTATGGTAAAAATATTACCTACCACGTCGGCTTTAGATTTGACATTAGACAAGCCAGAATTATTCATACAATAAGTTATTTTCATAAAAGTAAAAAAGTGTAAATTATTAACATGATGCAAAGTGACAATTGATTTTTCGGGTTTCTAAAACAGATTGTGGTCAGCAAAAACTGTCTGCAAATGAACCCCTATTTAATGTATTCTAAGCCATATTTTATTATAATTGTTTTTTTGTTCATGGTTTGAGTATGAGGGATGCCAAGCAACACATCCATGTTGGCATCTGCCTAATTTGGCTAGTGTCTAAAGTGACCAAAATTAGTTTGTTCAGAGGCTCAGCTTTTGATCACATCTGTTCATGCTCTTTTCATGCCATCATTATAGATGCTGAATATTATTTGTGCTACAGAGATGACAGACTCACTTCTGCTGTGTTTGCATTTGTATGTCCGTCAAAGATTACCCATTTGTACACTGCAGATTGCATGGCTCAAGAACATAATATTCTCGCTGCTGTATTGACTCTTTGTCCTATATTTAATATATTGTTTACACTGTATGCCAGCACTTGTCAGGCAGAATTTGTGCTGACGAATATTTCAAAGGGAGCTGAGTCTAATTGCCTGCTAATTAAAAGTGCTGATATGGCTGCAGTTATCTCCAGTCGCTATAGCTGCCAGTGGAATATATTTGCATGCTGTTGTTGAAGAGGAATGGTGTGAAAAATGTCTTAAGCAAATTTGGATGAACTAAAATGAGGTGCGGTCCAAAAATAGGCCGAGAGTTGAGTGTAACTTTCATGGATGCTTGGTGTGATCTCTGAAACACAGCTGTGTGCTGGAACAAGAGAGTGGGAGGTTGCCAATCAAAGCCTTGAAAAAACTGTTTAAAAATGCACTGAGGAAACTTTGGGAAAATAGCTGCATATCAATTACTTTTCACAAATTCAGCAAACAAGCGTAATGCCACATTTTTTACTAGTGGAATTATTTGTGTCTTTGATAAATATATTGCAAGATAACTGTAGTAAAACAGTTTTAATTAGTAATATATCATATACATTTTTTATAAATATATTATATTATATTATGTTATATGTTAATATATTTAATCAAACAACCTTTTTTTCTTCAATATATTATACTGCATATTATTTGAGCCTGGACACATCTTATATTAAATGAAAAATTAGGTTATTACAAAGTTTTTCTCCCATGTGTTATCTGGAATACACTGTAAAAAATAAGTAAGTAAATAAATATTAAATTTCCTCTGTCTGAAAATAATCATCTGTACATGTAAAAACATATGGGAAAAGAATGCAGCATCATCATTAGCTTGTGTGTGTGTGTGTGTGTGTGTGTGTGTGTGTGTGTGATTAAACTGACTAACAAGGCCATTTGTGATAAAGAAAGTATTCTTGCTGAGTAGGAGTGTTGTAGTGGTCACTATGGGTGGTTCTGTGGATCAGTGAATAACAGTACAGATTATTTAATTATTTACTTGTGCAGGCTAGTAGTGTAAATAATGTATTGAGTTGTATGAAGTTAATGTGAATTTCAAAAATAGCAATCAAATATGTATGTTTAGACTTATGTATGTAAGAAAACAGCATCTTTGCACTCTTGCCATATGTGGCATATGAACAGTGCTCTTTTAGGCAAAGTGCTGCCATTTTTCTTCTGTGTTACTCATGTAAGATTTATTTGTACCTTAACACATGTCCATAAATGCCTCCTATTGAGTTCTGCTGCTTTTTGTGCTTTAAATATGAAAAATTATTCCATAGTGCATATATGACAGAAAAGGCATGCAGAGAAAGTAAATAAAAAAAAAAAGTAAACGTAAAAAATAAAAAAAAACTCTAACCTGGTTTAAATCTTCAGACTTTGCATTGAGATCTCTGTTGAATTAGATTTATTCCATTGCACACATGGGATTAAATGATAAACCATGAACTACTATGTCTGGGCGTGTATATATAAAAATAGATTTTGAAACATTGTCCCCTGGAGAGTACCGCCACTTTTCCTTTTCCACTTTTCATATATAATCGCCATATGCCATTTTCACATGCCATTCAACAATCTCCCTGCCATTTTTTCCACCTCTTGGCAGTTGTTTTTCTAAATGCAAGTCCCTTGATGTCCTTGCCAGTGTATAGTGCTCTGTGATTCTGTGAGGGAACACGGGCCAGGAGCCGAGGGAAGATAAGAGCCTTAGGCAGCAGTGCATGTCAAAGCCATAACTACTGTGCCACAAACACCTATTGTGTGAACGCATATACACTTTTAAGCCTAGTTAAAATCTACTCCTCTACTCCTTCTTCTTTGATGCATCACATCAACATTTTAGCAGTTGAAGGTTGTGGCCTTCATACCAGTTGTCCTTGAGATTGGCATTTTAGGTGTTATAGGAGATTTAACAGATATTTATTTCTCTTAACAGCGTGAAAGACTTCGAAATATTGAGAGGATCTGCTGCCTGCTGAGAAAGGTATGTAACATCTTTATGTGTGGGGGGAATTTCAAAGTTTAACCCATCCTGATTGACAACTTTACTGAGCATTCAAGGGCACATGTATTGTATTTTACACTTCGATTTTCCTTTTGTTTCAAATAATCGTAATATATAGTAAACTTTAACCAAAGGATATTGTCATTGAGCCTGTGAAGAGTAGAGCGATGACCCTTTCTACTATATGTATTTGTAGTAAGACAATAATTTGGCAACATTTTATGATTCATTTCATTAAAGATATTATATTATATTATATTATATTATATTATATTATATTGGAAACTAGTGCTTACATTTTTCAGTATGCTGCAATATATGCATGGTTATGTATGGCTACATATTGATAAATATAATATTACACTGAAAATGATGATTTATTAATTAAAGGTATTATAAAGTGTTTCCCACACCTACATAGTGTGAAACTGAGCGCATTCTGCATGTTTGAACATTTGAATCCAAGCACCATCCAAGTTACAGGGGGCCAGAATTTGTTATGTTCCATATATATATTGTGCCAACATCAGCAGAACGCCTTTATGAGTAATATGTCTGATGGTATGAGGCTCGTCTAGAGTCCTAGCTGCTCCATGTGCATGTGCACCTCGCAGAAAAGGTTTCTGCTGTCACTCAGTTTCACCTGACTGCAAATGTAAAAGAAAACACTGCCTGACAAAAACACTTATCCAAGCAGAGTCCACAAGGGCTTCATATGCGCTTGAGTGGAATTGCCTTTAAAGGGGTCATATGATGCGACTTCGATTTTTCCTTTCTCTTTGGAGTGTTACAAGCTCTTGGTGCATAAAGAAGATCTGTAAAGTTGCAAAGACTAAAGTCTCAAATCCAAAGAGATATTCTTTATAAAAGTTAAGAGTCAACCATGCCTACCTAAAACACCTCGTTTAAACACGCCCCCAC